TGATGTCTGACCTTAGACCCTTCAACCGTTCTTTGACGTGTGGTGGTCGGGTCTCGCGTTTTTTATCGTCTGGCCTACTGCAATGAGTCTGAATCCGCCTAAACAGGGTGTTTACACCGCTTCATTTATAGGAAACCGGGTGGTTGCTGTGAAAACTTAGAAGTTATATCGTGTTCTTCGCCTTCCTGTAAACCTTCGTCTCAATTTCACCGTTGGTCGTTCTCTTTAGGAGGACATCAAGGAAAGGCAGCTGCTGCTTTGGTCCTTCTTCCCTCATGGATTGCGTGTCAGGAGAGATTCCATAGAGCAAGTTATAGCAGTTTTGCAGCATGTTTTCTTGAAAGTAACAAATGTATCGGCAGCAAAACAACGCCAATAGACAGGCATATTTTGGATAAAGGCGGTGTTTTCTAGCTCTTGTAGAATCAGTTCTGTCATCACGCTGTTGATTGGGGAGCTCATCGGAGTACCTTTTATCTGTTCACAGGTTTCTCTAGCAAAGGTAAAATAGGCTTGCTGGGAAAATTCGATGAACCTCATAATGTGTTCAGTTTTGATTGGACTTTGATCCTAGTCATACGCTTCTTCAAGTCTCTTGCGTAAAACTTCGTGCGCCAGATTTTGAGGAACGGATGTGAATAAAGCACTCACATCGAAGGGGAATATCATTTGAAGGTCTTCTAGAAATCGAGAGGCTGATTGAACGGAGTTAGTTGAGTTGACTTGGAGGAATTTCATCTTTGTGTACATGCACTTTGCCAAGTTATGAGAAGGACTGCCTTTAAGGGCAACGATTGGCCGTAGTGGGAGAGTAAGTTTGCGATTTTTCGCAGACCATAGACTCGCGCCAGAGTGGTATCTGCTACTTTCATTTAGCATCACTCGTTCACCGATATTACACCTAGGCGCCGGTATGCTTTGAATAGTTTAGTCATTCGGCCGCATACGGATGTGACCTGCGAGTCTACTGCTGGTCTCTAAAGTTCTCTGCAGTCACGATAAGTCTTAGCTTTCTCATTGTAGTTCTTTCGATTCATCGCGAGAGTCGAACGTCCCTTATCACTTGGCAAGATGATAATACTGTTGTCTTTCATCTGCACCTTCATGGCTATTGACTCACTCAGCGAAATGCATCTGGTTTGTTTGTGAATCAGCAGCAAGCAGGTTACATTGCCGGATCGAGTGTTTTGTGTCGCTTGTTGCTTCAGTTCTCAACAGCACCAGCTCTAGTGTTGCTATGAAGTCAACAGGGTCAGCATCTGTGGCAGTAAAATAGGCTTTGTGCCGTAGCACGTATAATTTTTGCTCTGTTGGCTGTTTCGACGAGAGGTTGTGGACCACGTCTGAATTTTTTGTGTATTCAGGTTTCAAATTATTCACTTTTTCCTCTAGAACCTCAATTTCCTTAGCCCGAATGTGACTTGTTAATGCTTAGATTGTCTTTGCAAGATTATCAGAGATGTAATCTCCGAACATTTGGAAAAACCCTCTTCTGTCCACCTAAATCCTAGCATTGTATTTTTGTAGGCATAGGTGACAGTTATAAATCAGAACTCTCATCATCTGTTTGATGAATCGTCCTGCGACTTCTCTGCCCATGGTCGTGTTAACGGCTGACTTGTATCTGAAGCTTCGTGTCGTCGTCTTTATAATATATCTACTAGACTCTAAATAAATTAACTTTTAATATGGACTTTCGGTCAGGTATTTATGTTTTCAGCCTGAAACCATAAAAAATTCGGGAGTATTGATTTTGTGAATCATGTGTAATCTTTGGCTGCTGATGCCTAATTGAATATCTAGGCGAAGCACGTGCTTTGAGATTCATTAGCCCCAAAGTGCAGAAGTTGGACAATGAACTTGCAAGTCTTTGACGATGGTCCCTCTTGTTTTCGACTAAAAATAGTCATGTCAATGCTTTCTAATCGGCCGATTCGTATACGGAATATTAGAAATAAAAGCAAAAGCCCTGGAGTTACCGATTATGAAGTCAATTTTCTTAAGTTAATCAATTTGTTGAGCAACGGAACCGTCGTAAATATAAATGACACAGGTGCATTTACTTTCTTTTGAATAAACTTTGTAGGATGTGAGGTTAATTTTTCGCCGGGGTCCCTCATTGGTGGGGAACACACTTTCGACTGCTCAACTGAACGTGGTCTTGGTTATTTCCTGGAACCTCTTCTTCTCCTCTCACCCTTTTCGAAAACCAGCCTGTACTTAAAGCTTACAGGCGTTACAAACAATTCAATTGACCCTTCAGTCGATATTATTTTACAGACTTGGTTGCCACTGCTGAAGAAATTTCTACCACCGGCCTCGGCATGTGCTCTGAAATTAGAAATAAAGAAGAGAGGCATAGCTCCGAAAGGTGGCGGTTTGGTTGTCTTATCGTCTAAGCCAGCGCAACAGATTTCTCCCGTCCAGATTATTTCCCCTGGGAAAGTTTACAGGTTAGATCGACGCATTGATAAAAAGGTTTACCATCGTTATCGGAATTGTTGTTCTAATGATCTTGTGTCCCGTCATTTTTTTACTTATACGTGTACTAATTATGTCTTCAGTTAGTTATTTACGTCACAACTCCATTATTATTCCCTGATACATTTCTGGTGGGCAATGCTGTCATTCCAATTTTCCTCGGTTGGCATTTGTTATTAGGATTTTTTACGGGGAGCGTGGCGAGCAGGGTGTAAGGTTAGTTATGCACGAAGGCCAGTTTTTTCGATCGGGTTCCAAACCAGCTGTTATTTGTTCTGTACTTCCGTGACCTTCTAATTTTCAGGACACCCATAATTAGTCTGCTGTACTTTATAGAGTGACTCATATATCCTTAATGTAGCGGACGCTGATAACGTTTTTGCACTATTAAGCCTAGCCTGCCAATGCCAGACGGTCTTTCAAAATGACCGTGTACGTCTTACATCAGTGGGCAAAATCTCCCACAATCTGCTACTGCATGGACCGGCGTTACGGTTTTGATGCAAGCGTGGTCCCAAA